TTATCCATGTGTACTGGGCCCGCAGAAGGAAGAAAAAAACCAATGAAGATGAGATAAAAAATCAGGAGGAAAAAGACCAGGACTTCTTATGTAACAGAAGCAAATGAGGCAGACGGTTTAAGGGGGCAGAGTCAGTGATGTCAAATATCACATGGTACGAAGACTGAGAAAATAGTCACTGAAAATCTTTCAAAGGATAGTTTCATCGGGTGATTAATGAGAAAGCTGAGGTTTCAGGTGGTGAGACAGGCGATACAGTGGGTATGCACCATGTATCCGAGAGGCTTTGCAGCAGAAAGCAAATAGCACTAAAGTTAAGCAGGTCACAGGAATAACGAAGTGAAAGGAAGAACGAAAGGCTTTTATCAGGCTGAAGAAACCGTATTCTTGGTTCTTAGGGGCTTGGGTAGGTGTAGGGGAACAAAAACAGAACAACAGCAAAGCACAGTTCTAGCTCAGTAAGTTATTTAAAAAGAGCTTTTCTAAATGGATAAACTACTTTGACCATTTCTTAAAGTAATTGACAAGGACTCTTCGAGGGGAAATTTTCTGCCTTTGAGTAGCTTAACCTTTAAGAAGTCTAAAAAAAACCTGCATGATATCTAGTTTCAGATATTGAAAAACCTCTTCTTCCAGCCTTTTAATGATTCCTTCTAAGTATCACAGAAATTAGAGTTAAAAGGTAGACTGAGAAAAGATTTATTAGATAACCTTGTTCATTCTCCTGCCAAGTGCAGAATTGTTACTTATTGTGCATTTTCTAGTCTGCAGTGCTTTTTACTGTGTCAAGTGAATGGTGTTCTCACCACTTCCTTTGGAATACTATTTCATAATCCTATTGATCTCACTGTGCGGAAACTCTTGATCCCCATCCTAATGTTTCCTCCCTACTGTATACATTGTACACCATTAACAATTTGTCCTTAATAACCTCCATCTGCACTGATCCACATCCAGTTTGCAATCTCTAAGCACCTGGAACACCTTCACCAGTAGACACGTAATTCTTCAGGACATATTACAACTATCAGGATAAAGGATGTGTATGTGATAAAAGATAAAGAGTCTACTAATTTTACGTTTCTAATGATGAAAGTTTCCTTCTATATTCCAGAGATTTGGGGTAGGAATGAGTCAAAAGAACAGTGAAGTTTTTAAGAAAGGGGCAAAGTCTTTCTAACTTACGATCCAACATCCCAGTAAAAGGTATTCCCCAATTACTGAAGAGATAAGTTGGAACATTCTGGGTAGAGAAGGTGAAACTCTTAAGGTAGGACCAGGACTTAGACTTGAAGCATGGATTTATAGAGTTAGAGATGAAGCACAAACTAGATATCCTCTGATATCCTTGAAAATGTGCTCCCACGTGGTCAATTTGTCCCTTTTGTGATGGGTTCTTCTCAGAGACGGTTTTGGCAGATGTCCATTTGAGGTTCTATCCTGTGCTCCCAAGACAGTGGTCCTGGCTTCACCAGCTTCATCCTCACGGATCTTACAGGCTGATCATGCCCCCATAGAGGGGCCCAGATGGAAGCCTGAACGTACAGTGGATTACGTTACAGGAGAGGAACAGTGAGCTTGAGGGAGCCATCTCTTTTATATCAAGCAATAAGCAAGCCTTTTCTTTGTCCCAGAAGGAGACATCAGGGTTGTGTGCTGCAAACACTAACTTGAGAAATGGGCCATAAAAGAGCTGTCAGGGCCTTGCTTCGAAGTTCAAAAACCCGTGGATCCTACTTTCTCTCAGATATCTTGACAATATGTCATAGAAACCTTAAGTTCCCATTTGGACAAATTATCTTCACCCATACTTGCTTCTTTCTCTTGTTTTCCTTTTCGCGGAGGCACTGAGTCATTCTCAACATTTTCCTCATCCACCAGGTCATCAGATTTTTTTTAGTTCTACCTCTTAAATATCTCTTATGTTTCGCCCTCTGCACATCACTGACTTGGGTTCTACCCTCGTTATAAAAAGGTCAGAATTAAATAGACAATTGCAATAGGCTCTAACCTGGCATCCCTGCCCCCACTTCCACCTCCTGCAAACCAGTATCCTAAAATGCAGAATTGTTCATGTAACTCCTGTGTTGAACACTCTTCACTCATTAAGCCTTCCAGGTAAACTCCAAGCTCCTTATCCCGGTCCACCTACTTCTCCAGCTCCATCTACTGACATTTCCTGTAAGCTTTCTTAGACATTTTATAAGAATTGCTTGCTGGTAAGCATGCACCTCTTGCCACTTTTAGACTCAGTATCATTTAAAACGTAGCATTCCTTGGCATGTGGTAGGCATGTAATATATGTATGCAGCATAAATATTTACTGAGTGGCTGAAAGTAAAAATAGGCTTGGCTTAAACGCAAGAAGGGTTTGACTTGGGGAATTATTTAGTTCCACCTTCTCTCTGTGTACTCCCTTTAACCAGTTATAATGATGCAGCTCTTTTGACAGACATTGGATGATAATTTAGCTAAATGAAAACACAAAAAGAGGGTACGGATATCGCTTGTATCTACTTTGAAGACAACCCCAAACTCGCCACCTGCTAATAACTGTAATTCTCTTGTTAAATTAAACAACTCTACTACAAATACAGACAAATCAAATTAACTTTACTTTTCTAAGGAACCAGTGAGTCATGAGTCATTACAATACTCCTCGCCTTTTTTGTTACAGTGGAAAAAGATAAAAGCACGGCACGTCAAGTGGCTATCTAAAACTACTGTCCTGTCTTCTAACCCTTAAAACACACCCATATTAACTTTAAATTATGTCTCTGGCAAAATGTATAAGAAAAGCATTCACCCATCTCATTAATTCTGTGACTCTGTCAGCAATAGTGTGAACTTTTAAAAAAAATTATTTTATTAAAGTATAGTTGACTTACAATGTTAATTTTTGCTGTACAGCAAAGTGCTTCCATTATACATATATATATGTATATGTGTGTGTGTGTGTATATATATACACACACACACACACACACACACACACACATACGCACACACATTCTTTTTCATATTCTTTTCCATTATGGTTTATCACAGGATATTGAATATAGTTCCCTGTGCTATACAGTAGGAGATCGTTGTTTATCCATCCCATAAATAACGGTTTGCATCTGCTAATCCCAAACTCCCACTCCACCCCTCCCCCAGTTCCTCCCTTCCCCCTTGGCAACGACAAGTCTGATCTCTGTGTCTGTGAGTCTGTTTCGTAGATAAGTTCATTTGTGTCATATTTTAGATTCCACAGCTAAGTGATATCATATGGTATTTGTCTGTCTCTTTCTGAAGGGTCTGAGCTTTTATATCATGCCTGAGGCAGGCTTAGGCTCTAGGACGCTTAGTCAGTAGTAACGCTTCTGAATGGTCACAAGTTGGTCCACTTCACTAAATGGTGTTAAAGACCCACGTCTCTTGTTTACAGGCTCGGACACACCTTTGACTATAATGGAAATGAGAGTTCCCCTTCTGCTCTATTTCCTCCTGTACCTCTTCAAGCCCTTAAAACACATCCATATGTTATTTCATCACAGAAGGAATTCCCTGTGACTTCTCTTTATAAAATATTCTGATCCCGTCTGCATACACCTTTGGGTTTGTTGTTTTCAAGTTCTGGATTGTGTTTCTACTGGGACTGCTTCCCAAGATCCCTTTTTAGAAGTATAAGAGCATCTTTCTAGTGACCTTTTAAGTCTAACTGGCTCGACTTGCCTTGGACCAGTCTTAATTTGAATGCCTTCAGGTAGAATCTTTACATGCTCAAAATGCTCCCAATAACTTCCTATATTCTTTTATCTGGCCAACTTTGTTAATTTATATAAACTAGCTAAATATCTATCCTGTAACCAGTTCCTGTCCTGGGAACACCCGACAAACCATCTAAGTTGTCCTTTGTCCCTCCCTACCTACCCTTTGTCCTTCTGACAGAGTCCTTATCATCTAATGGAAACAGTATCCTTAACTCTTTGTCCAATGTGCTAGTCCTTATTTAAGGCCTATCTTAAGTGAGAAATTTCCCTCCAATGAGATTCCACTACCCTAATGATTCTACCATCCCATATATGCAAGTCTCTGATCATTAAATTTGATCTCCTATTAAATCATTCTCCATTTTGAGTCCTAATATCAAGTCTGGGAGAATATGAGTTAAATCTTTTTCTCTGTTTTTAAATTAAAAATACTAAAAGAGGGCTTCCCTCGTGGCGCAGTGGTTGAGAGTCCGCCTGGCGATGCAGGGGACACGGGTTCGTGCCCCGGTCCGGGAGGATCCCACATGCCGCGGAGCAGCTGGGCCCGTGAGCCATGGCCGCTGAGCCTGTGCTCCGCAACGGGAGAGGCCACAACAGTGAGAGGCCCGCGTACAGCAAAAGAATAATAATAATAATACTAAAAGAACTAAAAATAGTCGAGCCTCAATGTTTCACATACTGGCTTGTTGTACAATTCTTCATTTCTAGTTTCCAGAGAAAACGATTTACCAACCTTTGCTTTTTCAACCTTTTGCAGTTACATATAAGGACATAGACTTACTCACCTTAAACACTCCTAACAACAGTTCTATCTCACCTTCCCAATAGGCCCTGTTTCCCCACACACTCACACAAATTACTTGCATAGTATTATAAATGAGTCTGTATATGCTTTTCAGGAAATTTTTTCATATTTGAAATAAAAACTTTGTTAAAGTAGCTAAAGTCAAATCGTTGTTGCTAACAGTTTTATCAAAACATGGATTAAAAACGTAAGATAACTGCACAAAATGTGCCACTTTTGCAAAGAGTTACTTAGTTTGCTGGGAGCAGTAGCTAGGAGGCTAAGTTTTAGAATTACTTTTCTACTCTTGGGCAAATAGATCAATCACTTATAAAAGTTGATCTTCAGTTATAAATGGACGTGATGACCTCTTTTATAGAGTTTAAAAGACCTGGTGGCTTTTGTTGGAATGCACAGAATCTACATAAACACCTATATGTTTTTGTTTTTTAACTTTATAGGAAATTAATGTGTTGACAGTCGCATTGGTCAACCAAGACCGAGAGAACAATATTGAGAAAAGAAGCCAAGGCTTAAAATCAGAGAAAGAAGCTCTGCTGATCGGTAAGGAAATTCTGTTTTCCTCATCTGTTCTCTCGTAGGTAATAATTCACTTACACAGTATTTAAGTAATTCACCTCCAACTTGTTAATGATTTAAAAGCTTTGTCAGAGGTAGGATTAACTTCATCAAGATTGTATTACACACATTTCAAATTAGGGGCATGCAAGCCAGTGGGGACTTTGCTCTTCTGTAACTATGTATATCAGTTGGTTATCCAACATAAAACTGAGTACAAGGAAAACAGATTAAGTTGCATTTCACATGTTATAAATCTGAATTTCAAAATGTGGACACAACTGGATGCCAGGTTGGGTTCAGTGCAAAAGTTCCACACCAAGCCAGATCCCCAGGCTCGGGAGCGGCCACGTCCTGAGGTCAGTCCCAAGGCCAAGCCTGAAATGCTGATGATACAGGGACATCTAGACTACAGTGCTAGGCCAATCTAGGACAGTCTAGCCAGGCTTCCCTGCCCAAGTCTGGACTCATGTATCCAAGATAAATAAGACGAGCTGGCCACTAAGGAAGGGGAAAGAAGCAGCAAGGAAGTTGCTGTTCACCTAAACATGTTCAGTTGCCCCACGAAATATATCTAAGTTGGCTTTTTCTTTGTCAGGACCAGAGAAAGCTCTAAATATTCTCTCTTTTCTTATTTATTTATTTTTTATTGACGTATAGTTGAATTACAATGTGGTGTTAATTACTGCTGTACAGAAAAGTGACTCAGTTATACATATATGTATACATTCTTTTTCATATTCTTTTCCATTATGGTTTATCACAGGATATTGAATATAGTCCCCTGTGCTGTACAGTAGGACCTTTTTGTTTATCCATCCTGTATATACCGGTTTGCATCTGCTAACCCCAGACTCCCAATCCAACCCTGTCCCCACTTGATAGTGATCAGTGTATACAAAAGCAGTACTTAGTCTCATAAGGAAGTCTTCTCAGTGGGGCTGTGGTGGTACCGTGCCTGGGACCCCACCTTCGAAGCCTGTATATTTAAGGCTGTCTCCAGAGTTCTCAAATCCAGAGAAGGAGAAGCCACCAGCTTCACTCCCTGATGCACAGCATTGATTCAAGCTGCACCTTGGCACTGACCCCAGCGTTAGTGTCCAAGTTTAGCCTGGCTCCTCTATGGCATGATTAAGAGTGAGGAACGAGGCTGTTGTACACATGAGACAAACTGTTCTTCTGTGGTTCGTTATCTGGCAGAAGTACCGCCTGGTTGCAGTTTCTAAATATTGCATGCACTCACCTCAAAATGACAGGTACATCAGGTCCTGTAGAAGCTGGCACAGGAGGAATTAAATTCAAAAGATAGTGCCAACTTCATCCATCATCTATAGATTTTTTCAACTACAAGGTTATTGAATATGACATCAACTTAGAGCTACTCCAAGGAAAACCAATTATTTTTTTCCCTCTGTGATGATATACAGCTGTGATAACATGCCGTGCACAAATTTCGTAAGACATGCTGATGTGCTATCAGTTCCAGGAACCCAAAATGAACCTGTATGTAGTTAGCAACTGGATTTTTCTCCTATTGGAAAATGTGTCAAACTCTGACAACTGTTTCTCTTTCGCTCAGTGTGACAAAGTTGTGATTTCCCCCATGATACTTTCAGGGTATGAACAGAGCACATAATTAATGATCAGCAGTAAACTCTCCCTCTTTAAGTCTGAATAATATAGACCACTTGACGGTAAAAAAATGGAAATGGGTATCCATTTTCTTTATTTCCTTCCTCTCACAATAGACTGCTGCTTCTCCTTTTATGTTCTACTTGGAGAACATAGTTCACTTACAATATCTGCTAAATAGTTACTGTATATATAGATAGATGGATAGATTATATATATACGCACACTATGTTATTTTACATATGTAAATTTATTTACAGTATTTATATTATATATAAATTACTATAGGTGTAGACACGGACACACACACACACACACACACACAGGTCTTCCTCAATTTATGATGGGGTTACATGCCGATAAACGCATCATAAGTTTAAAATATGTAAGTCAAAAATGCACTTAATACACCTAACCTACCAAACATCGTAGCTTATCTCAGCCTACCTTAAACATGCTCAGAATACTTATTAGCTAACAGTTGGGCAACATCTAACACAAAGCCTGTTTTATAATAAAGTGCTGAATATCTCATGTAATTTATTAACTACCCTCCTGAAAGTTAAAAACAGAATTGGTTGTGTGGGTCCAGAATGGTGTGTCGGTTGTTCACCCTCATGATCGTGTTGCTAACCGGGAACTTCGTCTCAATACCGCCGTCCAGCATCAGAATACGATACTGCATGTCACGAGGTGGGGAAAAGATCAAAATTCAAAATTTGAACTATGGTTTCTACTAAATGTGTACTGCTCTCGCACCATCATAAAGTCAAAAAAATCGTTAAGTTGAACCGTTGTAAGTTGGGGACCATGTGTACACACACACACACACACACACACACACACACATGACACAAACTTTTTTTTCAATCAGCCACCTCACAAGTTTAAAAACAATATGCTTTACACACTGTAGGTTAATGGGAGTAAATACGAGGGTTACGTTTATAACATGTCAACTCTGCTGAGGTCTCTAATATTAGAAAAAACTTAAAAATTGGTAAATTCAACGGTGTTTGGAATTAAAAATTTAGTAAGTCGGGATCTTCAATAAAAATTAGGTACAGCCAACTCCAAATTTTCCAGGCCTTTTCTCTCACTTTTGGTCTCTTAAACTGGTCCCTCAGATTAGCATTTGAAAGTTCAGCATTGAACAAAAGAAAAACAGCATGTGACACTCAATTTGAATGAATATATGAGACTGTTTAGGTAGAAGGGAGGCTGGAGACTTAAGGTTTGGTTAAATTTAGGAATTTAATTTTCCCTCCATGTCTCCATTACCTCTCCACCACAATATTTTATTTTACTCTGTTTAATGGAAGTTTTTTTACAGATGTGACTTCCTGCCCAAGCCCTACCCCCCAATTCCTAGGTACTTACACTGTTTTGTAGTCAGAGAGAGAGTAATCATTCAAAAGAATGCCAGGGTAGAGAAGAGTTTCCAAGACTGGCTAAACGGATCTTGCCGAAGGGTGCAGTTGTCCCCGCCATTAAACGTGCCTCTCTGCTAATTGAGTTTGGCCGTTCATGTTTTGTAGAAATCTAAATGTTGGGACCATAAAGACCTCTCCTGCAGCTTCTGGAATCCAGATAAGGACTGTGATAGAGACGGAATGACAGAATATGGGTCCAAGACTGCTCTGGACCAGGCTAGAGAGAGAAGGGAGTTTCTGGTGCTGGGTCTACTCTTTTCTGAAGAACACTTGTGGGGAGAATGATTCTGGGAGCCCCCTGGACTTCTGATACATCTGGAGGGGTCAGGAATACTCTGCAATTTCCCTGGAATCTTCTCTTGGAATAACTAAACCCATGTATAGGATACAGTAGGCCTGCTCTAAGTCACTCTAAAAGGCTAGGAGCACAGCAGAAAATCTCCCTTGTATTGGAAATGCTTACTGGCAAAATCTTCAGCACATGTAGATGCCTATATATGTGCTATACGCAAATATATTCAGGTAACCCCCTGTTGGGACACACAGATGTTATATAAAAAATGCACAGCGGCACAAATCTTGATTGCCTGGAAGAGAAAAGGGGAGTGAAAGATAAGCTATTCAAATGGATTTCATCTACAGAACACATAAAACTGAGGCTAGAGCTTCCTAAATAATGAGCAATCCTAGTTATTGGTGACATTAATTTATCTGGGCAAAAGAGCATATTCTTTCCAGAGATTCTCACGACCGTTTTATAAAATTGGTGTCTTTAAGACATATAAATTTTATATACATTACAGAAGATCAATGGAATTTCATCAGTAACACTACTTGGAGCTTTGCAGATTTCGATCCTGAGTCCCTTGGGAGACCCACCATGCTACCAGACTTTCTGCTTGACAGTGAACATAGCGTCAAGTGCTATGTTCCAACTCAACTGAAGTAGCTAGGCCCTTAGGAAGCACTTCATTATTGATTGCTAGATTATTTATTATGCAATCAATCCTTGTGAAGACAGGTTGGCATATAATTGAACCTAAAAGAATTACATTTTTATGGGAGTTTTGGAGGGTAGCATTTTATATCTCAAAACTGTATGGTAACCACACATTAGGTCAGCTTGACATTGCCTAGTGTCTATGCCAGAGCTCCTGGTTCCTTCCACATGTGCCCTACATGTTGGATTTGGCATGTGTTGAACTTGTGTGGGAGAGCATGAGTCAGTACTTCTGGTTTAGGACCAAAGCTTTGGAGCTGTGTTTGGTTGGAAACTCCTGGCTATTGTTATGAAGGAGAATGGATCAAAATTTTTTATTGACAGGCAAATAGCTCTGAGGAGATGTTGACAGTCCAACCCTGGGTCTGTATCACTCCATCTTCTCTTGCTCTTTAATTAATTCCAACACAACACATTTCCAATCCCAGCAGCCCTGACAGGCACCCTGTCAATGCTGGTCATCATTGTAAATCCCATCCAAATATAGTCCAAACCTTCTCAACAACTCTGTTTATAAAGTTGCTGTTCCAGACTCCCCCAGGCTCCGGAGAACCATCCTCACATTCTTAATGATCAGGCAAACGTCTTCACGTACCATCGTGACTCCTCTGCGGATCAGGACATACATATTATGGGGAACCAAGATGACTGTTCACATCAAGCCCCTCCCCTCCTACCACCACCACCACCATTTCCATCACTCTGACCATTTAACCCATCTCCTCACAGCCAGCCTATATCTGAATTGGAAATGTCCCCCCTTATACATGGGTGTTAGGAAGCAGATGAAGGAGATGTAGAAAAAAACACTTAAAGAAGGTTGAGTGGCGACTTTTTGGTGTTTTCAGTGAATAGAGTTGAGGCTATATTTAGTCTGCACCTGAGAAAAGTTATCTGGGGAGTGTGTTCTTGTCTGAAAG